TCTATTTTTTTAATTTGATCTATCTACGTGGCTTTACCGAAAAACCCAAGATTATGAATTCCTGCAGTCACGAAAGCTTTAAGTCAATATTTATTTTCAGTTATTTTTGGGTAAGATCGCGTAAATTTAAATGTGTCGTTCTACCCGCCATGTCAATAAATAATTTAAAGCTGCTTCTGGGACACACCTCGCCATAGCATCCTTTGGATAGATTTCGCAGTTGTTGAAAATCAATCACCGCTGATCTATGGGGGAAACTCCAATCAATACCTGTCCTGCACATGTGCCCCAGAGGGGTGTAAATTATGTTTTCGATAGTGTATTTAAATAGAGGGTACTGCAGGTAAGTAGTTTTCAGTTTTAAAGGAACAGTTTAACAAGACAACACTTGCCACCATCCTTCAAACGCATTGGTGAAAAAGAGCAATTTTTTTGTTTACATTACAATATAATGTTTATGCGAGAGCCTGGGGCTTATGGGACCCCGGGGTCTCGCCATAATGTTCAAATGTCCGACCATATTTGCCTACCACCACTCGACACAGCCAGTTAGAATGTTTTGTCACGGAAACAACATGCCCATTCGTTTCTAGTACAGCACACTGCTGTGGTGGAGAGTAAATCCACAACATTTACAATCTGAGTACGACGTTTCCCCAGTAATTACAACTAGCTTCATCAGGCGACAACCAGATTTGTGGAGAAATCATCTTGTTTCGTTTCATAAATTGAGGGATAGATGTGATGATGTCACTTGTGATCCGAACGGTTATAATTATTATTTTTATTTCTCTCAATTTCGATAGATTATCTAATTAGTCTTGGGCAGTCGTAACTAGTTTTGCACAGAACTTCAACATTATCATGTCCTTGTTGACACGTGTGTTCAGCCACTGCCAACTGTTGAATTTGGGAATATTTCATATTCCTTTGGTGTTCTTATTTTGGGAATCAGTGCATACCACATCTAGAATATTATCACCGTGCAAAATTATGTTTGACTTTCATAGTACTCTATGTATTTATATGAGTAACTTTAACTTTGTGAATACAGTGGTTAGCAATGCTCTATGATAGTACAAATATTGAATACTATTTAAATAAATAAGTTATAATCAACATACATTCGTTGTAGAAGCAAATGCAGTGTCAATGTTTACAATAACGCCTGTACAGCTAAGTTTAACATGTGTGCTGATATAGTAAATGTGACAAATGTGGCTATACTGTATTTGTATCAATAAAAACTCAAAATATTAATTGCTTATTTGTACCAACAGTTCTGGCAGCATTATTGTCAGCTTTGATTTAGTTGTTGAAGCTAATCAACCAGAAAATGTTAAAGCAGCGAGTCTTAAAACCATACTCAACGGAAGAATTGGAATTTATCAAACGGACCAAAAATATTTTCACATAAAATGTAAGTTTTAAAAAAAATGTCTAAATATGTATATTTTTTTACAAAATGAACTGCATGCAAGATAACTCTTCTTATGCGTGGTAATGTGGTGGGGGGGGCAATATCACGGATCCCATTATCCACGGGATTATTTGCGAGTATATCCCACATTCATGGTGGGGTGGGGGTGTGGATAATTGGTGAAACTTGCCACTTAACTGCCCCTATTTGCAAAAAAATGTGGAATGGAGTTATGACGATTTTGCCATAGTACCTTCTGGGGGGGGGGGGAGGCCGGTTATTGCATTACTTGCTACGGCAACTCGATTGCTGCCCGAAAAAATGTGCGCATTATTGGAAGAACATTTAATTAATTGAAATGCATCCTATTTTAAAACTTTCGGTAAAGTCACGTAGGTATAAAATAAAATAAATCACGACGTTTCCGGCGCAACACAAGCGTGATTTATTTTATTTTATACCTACGTGACTTTACCGAAAGAACCAAAGAGTATGGATTCCTGCAGTCACGAAAGCTTTAAATCAAAACATGACATATCTCTGTGTGGCTCCGTGTCTATTTGTATATCCCTCTCTCTCTCTGTATCTCAATCACTCTCGGTATCTCAATATTCCGATAGAGAGACACAGATATAGAAAGAGAGATGAAGATACAGAAAGACACACAGACATAAGGACAGTGGGAGATATATGCAGTTAGAGATAGACGGATGCAAGGAGGTATACCAAAGGTACGAAGACAGATAGATACAGAGACATACGCAAGGATACACACTTAGAGATAAGGAAATAGAGATGGAGACAGACAGAGAAACACAAAGACATGGAGACACACACACACAGATGGAGGCTAGACACACACACAAACGGAGACATCATATCTACGAATACACCGAGAGAGACACGGAGACCCAGACAAGTACGGAGACAATCAGTGACACGGAGACATTTCTAGCAGTGTTTCCAGGTCTCTCCATTTTTCTCTGCATTTCTATATCTGCACTTCCGTGTCTGTGTATGTCTCCGTGTCTCTCTGTCTCTCTATGTGTTTCCTTGTTTCTGTCTCCGTCTGTATTTGTGTCTCTGTCGTTGTGTTTGTCTCCGTATCCTTGTTTATTTGTCTCCATGTCTGTAGGTCTCTTTGTCTATATCTTTATCTCTGTGCCTCTCTCAATGTCACCATCTCTCTGTGTGTCTTAGTTTCTGTGTTTCTGTCTCATGTTGTTGTGTGTGTGTGTCAGTGTTTATCTCTGTGTTGGCTGTGTGGTATGTTTACAGGGCCTACTTCTCGGTGTATATCTGCAGGGATTGATCTGTTTTTCCATGTGAAAAATATGCAAACAACCCATGTGAAATGGGAAGGATTTGTCACTTGCCTCCTCCTAACAGGGAAAACTTGTATATAATCGAAAGTCGTTGTGCAATTAACTTTTCGAATATTTGCGAGGTAATAATGAATAATATTAAGAATAGGGCCCATGATATTTGGAGTTTTCATGGACCCAATGGCTCGTGGGTAATTGGGTGAAGGATAACACGAATTCTGTATTTGTAAATTTCCTCCACGAAGAAACGGTGTAAATATTACTTGTTTTGCGTGGTTTTGTTAGCCACTTGCCCCAAGGAGACCATATCTGGTATTACATGGCAAGAAACAAAACCAGGAAAAGAAGATACACAACTATGCCCAAACAAACCCAACATACAATCTAAAAGAACATGTTCCGAAAATGGAAAATGGAACACTCAGAGCTCTTGTCAGTTTGAAGAAATCTATGATAGTATTAAGGTATGTGATTAAATGTTCAGCACTTTCATCATCGTGGATTTTTTTAGAACTGCTTTTTGTGTTTATTTTGTTGTCCTTCATCCACACATCCGAGATAAGAACGGTTGGCTTTGTACGATACAAACGAAGTTCAATATACATATATATACAGGCATCATCAACCCCAATGAATTACAGGATGAAGGCCCTCCCCAGCCGCCACCATCTCTCATGATCTTGCAATGCATCATCATTATTGTATCTCCACTCCAGACATACTCTCACGCATGTTCCTTCCTTTGACTGCCATTCCATCCTTAGTCATCATATATCTAGACTTTGCATCTTCTCTCCATTGATTTATTTTTCCAGGACCTCCGGGTTTTCTCTTCACATTTAGAAAAATGCAGTTGGAGTATTTGGCTGCTCTAAATATCCATATGATAAACCACTTCGTTGAGCTATCATTTGTGGCCAGATAATTTCTGAAAAAGAGCTATATAGCTGGTAAAATAGTTTAAAGGTTTAATCATCAAACACGTTACCACTGAATCAATTACAAAAAAACCTCAATCTCGAGGGAAGATACAATTCCTGAAACTGTGTTCACTCCTGTAACAATTACTGTACACCACAAGGCCATATACAATTTAGTGTTTACTTAGCAGTACATTCGGGAAGTGTTCTCAGTTAAATTTCAATGTGTCTTGCAGGTTTGGCTTTAAACGGTATAGTTATGGTAAAATAAAGTGAAAAGAGAAAAACCTGCACGTACGTGGATTTTGTTATGCTTTCCAACACGCATTTGTCCTTGAAAGTGTAGTGGGTTCACGGGACATGGAGACGGTGGATTAGAGGCAGCACTGTTTATTCGAGTTTAACAAGGGTTACACTGGAAGAGGTAACGGCCCCTTCACCCATATACACGCTGGGACACCCCCTAGGCTATCTAGCCTAATTCCTGTGCTCCCAGTTCCTCCGCTACAGGCGCTAGAGGAGGCTATCTGATCTCGCCCTGGTCAAGCACAGATCACGGCACCCCACCAACCAGACCGATCCTTAAAAGGGCTCCGGCTCTGAGGCTCTGGGGCCGCACCACCGGCTTACTCTGCCGGCCCTCAAAAGGACAGCGGTCAGGGTAGTCCCAGGGTCTATCTAGCCGGCCTTCCTTCTTCACTGGTTCTTCATTCTTGGCCCCAACACACTGCCCCGAGCTTTCTGGCTCCCTGCCCTTTATACCCATACACCACTGAGGGCGGGGCTATAGCGGACGTGGTTGTAGCGACCATGGTGTGGCTGTGTGTTACCTTCCCGCAACACCCCTACAAAAGTATGGAACAAAGCAGTACACCTGAAAGCCACAATAAGACATAGATGCTCAGATAGTGGCAAGACATCTCCACAATACTTGGTGGTCATTGGATGAGCCAGGTGCTTGAAATGTCTGCTAAAAAAGAGGATGCCCAAAAGGACAACCACGTGGAGACGAAGTGTTGTGATGAATCTGTGACATTGCACAATCACGATGAATGGTGGCGCCGTGGAGATGAATATGTAAATGTTTTTTTGTTAATTGTCCCTATGATGAAGCAAGTTGTAATTACTGGCGAAACGTCGAACTCAGATTATAAATGTTGTGGCTTGGCGCTCCAACACACCGGCGTGCTGTACTGGTGACGAATTGGCACGTTCTGTTTACGTGACAACCCTTACTAGTTGGTTGTGTCGGGTAGTGGAGGGTTTTAACGACACATTTATATATTTACGCGATATAACCCAAAAAAAACTCTTATGGATATCGGTGGCAAAAGCCTAACGTGTTAAACTGTCCCTATGGACCACTGCCAACGCAGCATCAGCAAATAATTTGTTAAAATCGGATGAGATCATTTCCATGATTCCACATTCAAGGTTAATTAAAGCAAACACCCCCCATCATGTGTGTCTGTCTTTGTGGCCAATATATTGAAAAATTGAACGGTAACATGTAATTTGTATTCTAATTTTACTACATCGTATGTATGCGGTGCGGGGGAAGGACAACAATCTAAATACAAAGAAGTTCTAAATAAATTAGTTGTCAATTTGAATTTAAAAGTGCATAGCTCCCAATGGCTTCCTAATAACGGAAGGAAAATCGTTCCAGAAATCCGCAAAAGCACATCTGAAAGCGGGCGATGTTCAATGATTAGCCAGTAAACAGGTGCATGCAACTAATGTGTTCTCTTTGCAGAATATCACTGACACATACGGAGTTTCCAGTGTTTTAGATCAAATACAGAATTTCAGCTTTAACTCTGAAAATCAATCGCCAAATGGTTTCAAGGAAACTGCAGATATATTAAATTCTTTGGCAGACATATCAGAATCATTAAAAATGTCACCTACTGCAAAGCAATACGAGGTAGGTTTCATTTACGAATTCATGTTTGGTTATTCACTCATTTTTCATATTTTGACATTTAAATATTTTATTAATACGTTGTATAATGAAATTGTTTTTCTTTCAGATCATCATAAACGTGACCAGCAAACTTTTTTCAGAAAATAATCTTGCTATCTGGACTTCTAACACTTCTAGCGTTGTCAGTTCAAGTATCCTCAAAGCTGTAGAGAAATTCACATCGTTGTTTTCCCCTGCTAATTTTATAATTTCAAACAACAATACTGTCGTTAATGTCAAAACTACAATATACCGTGAATTCTATACGCAAATTGACATTATAAACACTATCAATAGCGTCCGTATGCAAATAAACGTTGAAAATGGATTGGATATGAACAGCACATTTTCAGCCATCGTATTTTCAAACCTTCACAAAATCCTGCCAATACAGCAAGAATCTGATTGCAAAGATTGTACTGTTAATTCGATTGTGATTATTTCTGCTCTGAAAACAAATACCAGTTCTAAAAAACCGAGTATTAGTCTGAAATTCTCGCCGATTAACAAAAGCTTATTCATCAAAACGTCGGTGTGCGTGTACTGGAACTCGAATAACAGCAATTACAACTTCACAAGTGGTTGGTTTAAAGAGGGCTGTACTACCGTTGTGAGCAACAACGCCGTTAATTGCTCTTGCGATCACTTCACACCTTTCGCGGTTCTGATGTCATCGACCAACCCTGATTCTGAAACAAGCGATATCCTGACAAATGTAGTGTTAACAATATCCATCTGCACGTTGGCCGTTTCCATAGTATTGCTCTCCGTCACCATGAGACGGAATGCATTCATGAAAAGAAGCAGTTGCCTAAAGTTGACAATTTTGCTGCACATATGCATCAAGCTCATGTGTGCGCACGTCTTATTTTTGCTGGCAAGCTTTCTTGAAGGGAAGTTGACCCAAGCCATGTGCATCCCGATCACTGCACTGATGCACTTCTGTTACCTCGCCTTCTTCTTCTGGATGCTGTGTGAGGGAGGACTCATAAGCTATCAGCTGACCTTTCCCATTCACGCCAAGGACTACTGGAGACAATTCACCATTGCTGCTTTTTGCGTTGGATACGGAGCACCATTGCTCATCATGGTCATCACCGTTAGCGTCGCCAAGACAAACTACAGCAACGTCAAGTTCTGTTGGCTTGCAACCGAGAATAACGTCATACTCTCCTTCGTTGTGCCAGTTGTTGTCATACTGGTGGTCAACCTAGGCACAGTGGCGATTGTATGCGTGAAGAAAATGCGGAAATCCATTGGAGCATCGAGGAGCAGAGCCAACAGAAACATGTTACGGTGCTTCTCAGTGCTCCTGGTCATTCTAGGCCTGTTCTGGTTTTTAGGGGCTGTCGATTTTTTCATTCCGAATCGCGGATTGGATGTTTGTTTCACAGTCGTTAATGGTTGCCAGGTACGTATGCACCTCATATGATTGTTTTCCAATGTCACACATTGTTACAGTATATGTAATTGTGATTTTTAGAAGAAGAAAAAAATCGTTGCCTCAATATTTTTCCTTTTTTCAGGGATTGTGCATTTGTTACTGCAACGTATTAAACGATCCAGATGTAAGTCTACTACGCACGTCTATCAACATAAAAATACACGTGCATCAACACCTCGTAGATGCGTGTGCCCAAATTGTGTTGTCAACCCGCAATCCAATGTAGTCATTGCATCCGAATTAATTATAATTATACGTTTAATCTACCTCACGGATAAATCATAGTGCATGTAGTTATAGATGTATTGTGTCAATCCTTGGTGTGTCATGTTTTGATGAGAAGATTAACAGTAGTAGATTGATGGCTCAACATGGTCCCATTGTCGGTTTAATTTTTCACTTAATTTGTCACAAACTCGGATGCAACATGGCACAGGTAAGGAGTTTTAGTTCATACACAATACACAGCACAAAACAGTAACAACCTTCCTGAACACGTCAATGGAATTAAAATTTTAAATGCAGAACATATAAAGTCTCCTAAAATCCAAGCCATATTTCCTTCATGGAAGATGTGAAACGAAATGGATAGGAGTCGTCTGAAAATGGTGGCTAAAGGGTCTCTGGTCAAAGGTTGTGAGCAACCTTTAAACAGTACACGTACCAAAAGCAGATGAGCCTATAGTTGGCCAATTAGACAAGCGGCGGGCATAGTGGTTTACACCTGACTGTGAGCCTGGCGATCTGAGTTCAATTCCCAGCCTTGGCCAACGGCCATGGCGAGTGCATTCTGAGCTGATCCTGATCCACCTCTTGGTTCACCAATCCGAACTGACCAGCATTGTGAGAGTATGGTCAAAGAACTGCATTGACAAAGGGCTGTACAAGAGCAACTGTTGAGTGTTCTACTGCTCACCAATATCAACTCCTTGTTATGAGCTCCAGTGGAATGTGCCTTGTTGCCTCAAGGACTTTTAACACGTAAACGAGGAAAATATGGTCGGATATTTATGGGTAGGGCAAATTATAAGTTTGGAATAGGATGCAGCAAGAGAAGTGATGTTAATGTAACTAGGAAGACGTCGTTTTGGAATGGGGCACGTGCAGGATTGAGGAGGGCTAGTGACAGATACAGGTATTGGAGTTGCCCCTTAAATCAGTGGTGGTTGATTTAATTTTCAACAACTAAGAAATCTATCCAAAGGAAGCTATGGCGAGGTGTGTCCCAGAAGCAGCTTTGATGATTTATTGACGTAAAAAAAAACACATTGTACTTTTCTTTGTCAAATAAAGGTTGAGCATTGGTTAGGTACTGTAAACATAATGAGCAAACTACACTCAGTTTTACAAAGGCAAACACGTGGCCACTTGCATTAACCACATGGAAAGCAAATTAAACAGTAAACGTGAGATATTCACTACACCTCATTCAGTCTATAACATCATTGCAAATGTGTTATGCATTAGCATTCTGTCATTTTACATTTTACTTAAATAGATCATGTTATGTATAAATTGTACTTTGTGTAAACTGTTTAAAGGTGTATTTTATCTTGACTTTTTTAGGTGCAAAAAATGTTGAAACGGAATGGCTTTCGAAAATATTCCTTCTTCGTACCAAGGATTTACATTCAAAGACATCGATGATCAATTCACCACCCTCTTTTCTAGCTCTAACTGAACTGATAGATGGTTAAGTTTTCACTGTTATATTTGTAAACTACTAGACTCAACTTCAAATTTACATTTAACCTTTCTGCGCATATATACTATATACTAAGGTTGAGTGTTGTATTTTTTTAAGGACAATTTCAGATCTTGCTTTGCAATGTTTTAATCAACTACATGTTCCTGCTTGTAAAAGTGATGTCACTCGATCCCACGTGACACCAAGGCAGCTGGAAAACATTAAGACAAACATGGTCTAGTAATTGCATGTATGAGGAAATATAAAGTGATGCCATTTCCTATTTACTCATACTTTCGGGTTAATATAAAACTTAAACACTTTGTGGAACTTCTTAAGTTAATTTTCAGATGATTCTGTAAATTGGGTTAGAAAGAAGTTCAACAAGCATACAAACCTATTGCAATGTTCATGGGAACGTGGTCTTAATCTTTGGTTGCTTCCGTGGATTTCCTGATTCTTGGTGGAGTGCTGCTTTGAGTACTCCATGGTGAGTCTGATTGACATTTTTTTCTTGGGATGCAGTTTTTTTTCAATCCATTTTGGAGAGTTTTTTTTCTTCTAATAATCGACTCGCTTTATTTACAAGATATTCATAGTGGGATAGTATCGTTCAAACAATATTTAAAAGGTCAGGGGCGGGGGAATCAAACGTTATTATGAAAGAAAGTATAATGTGGAATGTAACTTGAAGTAAATGTTAGTATATTTACTTAGACATTTAAGTTTGGCCTTCGAGAAAACATTTTGTTTTTATACTTCTATGCATTTTTAGACATGTCTGTAGATCCTACGCAGATAACTATTTGTAAAACAGCTGAGTATTTCTGACATAAACGAACAGAATAAATCAACATGTAGTAATGATAACAGTTATTCCAACAATAGTAAGATTTGATGCAATGGCAGGCTGCTTAACTTACAAGCATGTGTGTGTTCGAACCCCAGTGAAGGCTATTTGTGGGAATTCTAGATTTAAAGCTTTCGTGACTGCAAGGATCCATACTCTTTGGTTCTATTCGGTAAAGTCACGTAGGTAAAAAATAAAACAGCAAAAATCACGACGTTTCGGCCACAACACAAGCGGCCTTCATCAGGTGAAGGGATCAGGCTGTCTCGAGGACAGCGCTGGAGTGGAATACAGCCACGCTCAGACCGCGACCTTTAAGCTGTGTGCGAGGAAACAAGGTGCCTTGACAAAGGAATTAGCATAAAAAAATAGCATTTGATTGGCCGACTTAGCATAGAGGTGGTGTACATGCGGGTGCACATGCCTGTTGGCGCGGGGGGGGGGGGTTACCTATTGATGGTGTGAAAAGGGAATTTAAGAGCTGCGAAAGTTTGGGGTACCACTACTTGAAAAATATACTATACCATTGAAAATTAGTTTAATGTTTGGTTCGATTTAGAACATATTTCCAATGGTTGCTTAATTTGAAACCATCTTCTCGGTTGAAATTGTGTCTGTGTTTGTAGATAAAGATTCATACAACAACAAAATCCAGAATCTGCTCAACGATGGAAGTTACTCAAAAATTAAAAATGACCCTACCAAAAGCCTAGCGATAAAAACCAACAAGATCATCACAAGTTCGACTTCCCTAATCGACCCAACTAAACGTCCCTCCCTAAAACCTGCTGCAAGACCCCCTAGATTCCATGGTCTTCCCAAGATTCATAAAGAAGGCACCCCACTACGACCCATTGTATCCATGATCAACTCCCCTACCTATAGACTAGCCCGTTTTCTGTTAGATACCTTGCTGCCTTTCACTGGCAAGACCGCCTCAGCAGTACTTAACTCAGCCCAATTGGTCTCTATGGTCAAAGACGTTGTACTGTCCCCTGACGATATCCTTGTCAGCTTCGATGTGGTCTCTTTGTTCACCAAGGTCCCAGTACCTGATACCATTGAAATAATTGAAAATTTGGTCCAACATGGACTAGACCCCGATACACCTGCACTGGTTAGGCACTGCCTCAACAATACCTACTTTACTTGGAATGGCTCCTTCTACAAACAAAATGAGGGTACCCCCATGGGATCCCCCTTGTCACCAGTGATAGCCAATATTTTCATGGAGAAATTTGAATCAGACGCCATCCAGACTTCCACCCTCAGACCTTCCCTGTGGAAGAGATATGTGGATGACACTTTCGTCATTTGGCCACATGGCCTCCCAGCTCTGAACCTTTTCCTACACCACATCAATTCCAGACATCCCGCCATCAAATTCACCATGGAAGTGGAGAAAGATGGCAAGCTACCATTCTTAGATGTTCTGTTTGAGAGGAGACCTGATGTCTACAGGAAACCCACCCACACATATTCCTACTTGAAACCTGATTCCCACCACCACCCAGCCCAAAATAATTCTCTCATCAAAACTTTATACCATAGGGCTCATTGCATTTCGGACCAACACCACCTGACCAGTGAATTAAAACATGTACACCTGGCCCTCAAAAGGAATGGATACTCTGACCGTACCATCCGCCAAGCTGTTTCTCCCTCCATACAGAAACAACCACTTGATACTCCGGTCAAAACCATCACACTACCATATACAGCAGGCGTTACTAAAAAGATTTCCAAAATTATAAACAAACACAAGATCCAGGTCCGGTTCAATACAGTACACAAAATTTGTGATCTAATTCCATCCGTGAAGGATGTCATTCCTGACTTACAGTACCCCGGGGTTTACAAATTGAGTTGTACCTGCGGTGATTGCTATATCGGGGAGACAAAGCGACATGTCTCTGACCGAATTCGCGAGCACAAATCAGATTTGAAACACGGCAAAACGAATTCTTCTGCCGTAGCTGATCATTGTTACAACGCTGTGGGTGATCACGATATAATTTTCTCCGATACCAAGGTTATTTGCAAACCCACGGGTTTTTATCAGAGATTTGTTCACGAGGCAATTCAGATCTACAAACACAGACACAATTTCAACCGAGAAGATGGTTTCAAATTAAGCAACCATTGGAAAGATGTTCTAAATCGAACCAAACATTAAACTAATTTTCAAAGGTACAGTATATTTTTCAAGTAGTGGTACCCCAAACTTTCGCAGTTCTTAAATTCCTTTTTCACACCATCAATAGGTAAACTCCCCCTCCGCCCCCCCCCCCCCCCCCCGCGCCAACCGGCATGTGCACCCGCATGTACACCACCTCTATGCTAAGTCGGCCAATCAAATGCTAAATTTTTTATGCTCATTCCTTTGTCAAGGCACCTTGTTTCCTCGCACAGCTTAAAGGTCGCAGTCTGAACGTGGCTGTGTTCCACTCC